GAAAAGAAATGGAAAAATATGTATATTGCATTTTCTCCCTCCATCATGAGGACCAGATCTTAAAACTCCTTTTGAAATTTGGCATTTATTTAATAGCTACATAAATCTGAAAGCTAGCAAGAAGGACTACTTGGAGAAGCTAGCGTGTCACTATTGTGGAGACCACCTGTCACATTTCGTGTGAGCCTGGAACCTTGTAAGATAATGTCAGCCCTGTGGTTCTGTCTTCATCTTTAAAAATGTTGTATTTATGGAACAGGATCGATTTTGTGTCTCAGAAAGTCTACGATTCTGCTCACAGCCATTTGCTGACTAATGTCTCCAGCAGAGGAGAGCACCAAGCAAGTTCATGAATTATGGCTCTCTTTGAGATTCTCGTGTCAAAACTATTTTTTATTTTAAGAATGTCTGCTTTGATTAAAGCCATTAGAGAAGGGAACAAATAAAAAATGTGCCTGAATTTTATGCGTGTTGCATTTTATAGCAGGAACCCCGATGAAGCCCACATTTTAATTCTTATACCACTAAGGCAAGCAATGAAGACTAAACTAACAAGTTAATTTACTTCTTCCTTAACTACCTAGCTTGGGGTTCAAAAAAATCCTGTGGCAGGAGACTTGGTCGAGCAATACTTTTATTTATTTATCCTCTACATTGCTGCAATGGTGAAATTTATTTAATGTGTTGGGATGGGGTGGCTCAAGTTTATGAGTGAAGCTATAACCACCTATGTCAATTTATTTTTAAATTCACTAAACTAAAAAAGATTGTACACTACACAGGACTGAAGTAATGCTAAATTATTTATAACTAATGACAAAGGAGATCTGATTAATTTTGGTTTGTTTACTAGAAAGCTCCGGGATCTCTTACCCCTCAGCTTAACCATAGTTTTGTGGCTGATAGTTTGCATTCTTAAAAGTGTTTTTCCGATTCTGTGATGTGAAATCATCGGATCTCTCCATGTTACAGAATTTCAGCGTGACTTAGTGCTTGAAATAGAAGATGCTTTGAGTGGTCTTTATTTAACATAGTTGGAAGAGTGTGGTAGGTATTTCTTAAAACTCCCAGCTCCTCCAGCTCTGACCTTGACCACATTTCCTGAGAAAGCACTTTCCTTTCATCTCTTTTAGCAGTCTTCCTTCCCTACTGCCACAGAAGGGTCTGCATTTTCTTTTCTTCAGCTTCCTCTCTGTCTTCCAAGCCTGGGCTATAAAAACCTCTATTCATGTTGAGGTGTTAGCTTTGCCTTTCTCTTCTGTTCCTAGTGTGCCCAAGTCAACCTGTGGGGACTGAACTGGAATATCCCGTGGATGGAAGTAGTCCTGGGGGAGATGTTGTATTAGCTTTACAGAAGCAGCATAGATAGGGCCACAATTAATTAATTTCTTACTGTGGATAATGGTGTTAGTATAATTGATAGCCAAGGGCATAAGCATATACCTTGTACCTATAGACATTCTACATATCAACTGTCTCCCCTTGTCTATTAGCCTGTATCTGTCAAATGTCCATAGTTTAATAGATAACATTCCATTGATCTTGTGTTTTTCCTAATTGCTTACTATTGTATGAGAGATCTCAGGCCTTGTTGGGGCTATTAGCAACCAGAATTAAACTCCTCACATCTCTTAGTGTAGGCTTTTCCATGTTATCCCACCCCCCATTTTTGAGCACCACTTTGACAACCTAAGTAGTGAAGTAAAGAAATATTAGTGTGTTTCTACAGGCTTTGTATATTCCTGTGCTGGACTGATGGACATTAACTGGTGAATTATCTTTGATTTGGAGTTTGTAGATATATAGATGTGGGTATGCACGATGTGCAAGTATCTGTGCAAATGTTACTCCTCCATGCTGTCTATGCAGATCAGTTTAAAATTATCACACAGTGTAGCTGAATTTTAATTTCTGATAGAGAAAATATGAAGTTCAGCTGCCTCTAGGCCTGGCTGGGTGATCAGCAAGTCAGATGATTTGTTTAATTCTATGCCAGTTGCAGTGGGGGAGGGAGGTATGGGGAGAACCCAGATATCCTTGGTTTTTGCCCTCAAAGTATCCAAGAGTCTCCTGAGGGCCCAAAGCATGCACTCAATGTGTGGCCTGACCCATGCTATTTTGCAAATCAATGGGATGACCCAGAACATGCTCTGAGAAGGGCTGACTGATAGGATAATTAGAACCCAGCAACAACGGGGTGGATGGTTTTTCTGCAGATAATAGCTTGTTTGCTAATTGCCAACACCAGATTTTCTGGACAATTAGACATTTGGTTTCTTCCAAGTTCATCTGTGCATTTGTGAATACATGGCCGCAGGCCTTCCAGGTAGCAGGTGGAGAGGGTGGCACTTGGTGCTGATGGCATCTCTCCACAGGCTGCCCCAAGGGCTATGGTTAGGGCAGACAGCTCGCCAACAGGTGGAAGGACCATCTGTCTGGGTCCCCTAGTGGAGAGGCAGAGTTCCCCCTGCTTTTATGGAAGGGAGGCACTTGTGTTGGGAGATTAGCAAAGAGGGTGGAGCTTAGCAGGCTCTTCTAGGAATCCAGCTTACTTTTCCATTCTCTATTCAAGAGTTGTAGTCATTAATAGAAATAGAAATAGCTTTCCCTCCCAGATGAGCAAATTGATTTTTTAAAAATGTCTTTTTATTGTGGTAAATTATGTACAGTATAACACAAAGTTTGCCATTTTAACCATTTTAAACCGTTCAGTTCAGTGGTATGAGTAATATTCACATTGTGCAACCATCACCACGGTCTATTCCAAAACTTTTCATCACCCCAAACAGAGATTCTGTACCCAGTAAGCAAGAACTCCCACATTCCTCCCTTCTACCTGTTGGAGAGCTGTCTGCCCTGCCCATGGCCCTTGGGGCAACCTGTGGAGAGATGCCTCCAGTAACTTCTGATCTACTTTCTGTCTCCATAAATTTGCCTATTCGGGATATTTCATGTAACTGGAATGGTACGATACTTGTCCTTTTGTGTTTCACTTAGCATTTTTTTTAGGTTCACCCATGTTGTAGCATGTATACGAACGATATAAGAATGTCATTACTCTTTATGGCGGAGTACTAGTCCATTATATAAATATGCTGCATTTTGTTTATCCTTTCGTCTGTTGATGGGCACTTGGGTTGTTTCCACTTTTGGGTTATTGTGAATAATGCTGCTATGAACATTCACAGGCAAGCATCTCTTTGAGTCCCTGTTTTTAGTTCTTTTGAGTAGATACCTAGGAGTGGAATTGCAGGTCATATGGTAAGTCTATTCTTGACTTTTCGAGGAACTGTTCCACAGCACTTGCCCCATTGTACATTCTTACTAGCAATGCACAAGGGTTCCAGTTTCTGCACATCCTTGCCAACATTTGTTATTTTTCTTTTAAAATTATTATATTAAATTACTAATCATATATTGTAATTATTAAATATTATTATAGCCATCCTAGTGGAGGTGAAGTGACATCTCGTTGTGGTTTTGATTTACACCTCTCTAAACACAAATGATGTTGAGCATCCTTTTATGTGCTTATTGGCCATTTATATATCATCTTTGGAGAAATGTATATTCAAATCCTTTGCCTGGTGAGCTGGGTTTTTTTGCCTCTGATTACATGTTTATGCATCTCTCTCCCTGAGTTAAGAACTGAGCCTCATCAGGAGGAGAGAGGCTGTGAGCCTGTAGAGAAAGAAAGTGGCTGTGCAGATTTGAGGCTTCACATTCACTCCTGCATGATTCATTTCATTCCCACAGCCTGTTTGGTACCATCTGTAATGATGCTGCCTGAGTTCTCATCAAGTAGAAAAAGAAATCAGTAAGAGCCTGGGATTAACCCAAAGTGATTTAGCAGAATAGGCAGATGGAGCCATTCTTTGTGCTCCCCTGGAAGCAGATAGGCCTTTCTCAGACTCTTCAAATCCTCTGGGTTTCCTTGACCACAAGTATTGTTTTAGAAAATTACCCATTTTTCCCCTAGCAGGTATTAGACTATATATTAGCCAGAGTAGCAAGTGCAGAACACCCCAGATGGTGCCCGGTGGTCACAGGTGCCCAGCCTCCAGCCTTCTCCTCAGTGGGAGCATGCTGTCCTTGCTCGGGTGCTCCGTGGCCCTGCCACTCGTGGGCAGCAGGCAGGGAGATCCCTGTGGAATGTTCCAGCCTGACTAGGGATTGTGTAACTTCTCCTTGGGGGTCCTGTTCCTGAGGGAGAGCCGCTGGGCTCTGGGAAGGTTTCAGAACAAATGCTGTGCCTGGGATTGGTGAGGGCACCATGACAACGGACAAAATGACCTTCCTGCTGCTTAGCTGTTCACCCGCCTCCTATTTGACCTCCTGTCTATTGTGGGGTGCTGCCTGTGGGGGCCAGGAATGCTAATCTGTCTGCCTTTTTGCTTATTGAATGTCCAAAGCTGTCTGTATCTCAGGAGAGAGATGAGTTCATCATACTTGGCAGGGGAGGGAGGAGGTGAGGTAGTCGCCAAGCAAAGGACATTCTCTCTGGACGTTGTGCTCACAACCTCTGTTCCTAAGTTAGGGGTTGTTAATCTTTGGGGCAAGTGTCCCACATACCATTGGGAACCTGAGGGCTCTGGATACTCTTCCAAGGAAATGTATACAATAACTTGCACAAAATCTCAGATGACTACAGGTTCTTCCAGTCCATCATGGAGCCCAGGTTAAGAGCTGGCTCCATAGAGGACTCAGCCAGGAGCTAGGGGCTTTTGGCGACCTAGCAGCATCTCCTGCTTAGCTAGGTTGGGTGGCACAGAGGGAGAGGGCTGCTGGTCACTGGGAGAAAGGGCACATCTCATTTGGTCAAGTTCTAAATACCCAATACAAGGGGGTGCTGGAACAGATGCTCCTATCTTCCTGGCATCACATGGGCTGGCTTTCCAGAGGTCACAGTGCCTGTAGGACCAAGGCCATGTAGCCCTCATTTCTCCTTCCTGGGTCAGCCTGGAACACTTCTAAGGAGTGGACTTTGTCTTTCTTTTCAGAAACGGCTCCCACATCTGCGTATTCATCTCCAGCCCGGAGCCTTGGGGACACAGGAATAACGCCTCTGTCTCCTTCCCATATTGTGGTAAGAAATGCATATCTGCAGGCGTGTGTGTGTGTGTGTGTGTGTGTGTGTGTGTGTGTGTGTGTGTGTTTATAGTTCAGGCTCCTGGGCAGCCCCTCATGTTCACCGGGTGGAGATTAAATTGACCGGGGACTGGCCACACAAGCTCTGCCAAGTTCCTTCCCCACTCTGGGCCTTAAGGCTTCCTGTGGTGTGACTGGTGCTCCTGGAGCTATGGGCCTGGGGCAGGCAGGGTTGGAGCTGTCCTCAAAGATGGTTCTCGGACAGCTTCTTGGGAAGAAGCAATCATTTCTGGTTGATTGAATCTATGAAATAAATACAGGGGCTTTGTCGACTGTAGTTAATTGCCGTGTCCAAAAGCCTGTGGCTGTGTAATTGCTTCTGCAACAGCTTGTCTGGCAGAGAAGACCCGAGCAAGGACTTCACTTGCAGTGAGGGGAGCCGGAGACTGGGCTGTTCCCCCTACCCTAACTTGTACGAGAAAAGATTGATGTTGAGGAGCAGCTGTTAGAGGGATGCACACATAGCCAACCTGAGCGACCTACTGGAGGAAAGGGCAGCTTTGCACAAGCTGCCCAGATTCACAAAGAAGACCTCTCAGAGAAGAACATAAGAGCCACCACTAGAAAGGGGTGCCAGTTTGTCCTGGTTTCCTGGAACTGTCCTGGTTTTATACTGGAAGTCCTGTATCCTGGGGAATCTCAGAGCTAGGTCCTGTGAGTTTCAAACTTTGTACCCTGAGGGTGCCCCGTGGGAACTTTAGGGTGTGTGGAGAAGTGGGACAGGGTGAGGGGAATCTATATGGGTGGCATTCTCACCCCCTGCTTTAACCAAAGCATGCCAAACCCAACATTTATAGGTTTTTAAATATGGAGTTCTGTGGGAGTTTAAAAAAGAAAAGGTCAAACTACGCTGGTTGAAAAAAAAAGTGGTTTGGAAACCTGGCATGGCCTGACCACGTGTCTTAACAGATGAGGAAAGGTGCTGGGCCCCAAAGGGACAGACTCACAGGGTCACACAGCTGGTGTGACAGGATTGGGCAGGGTCCTGGGACACCCTGTCCTGCGGGCATGCATAGATGGAGTGGCCACCCGGGAGGTACAAAGGGCACAACTGGCCAAGTGCTCCGGGCAGTGGCTAGAAGTCCACACAGGGACTTGGGAGGGCAGCAGGAGGAAGATTGTGTCTGCTCAGGGAACTCCTGGGCACCTGGCCTGATGATAGAATTTCTGTAATAGCCATGCGCACACACAGTTGACAGGGGGAAGTGGGAAAGTTGTAGGCAGGTACCCTCCCCAGCTGGCCTTGCCTTCTGCTCAAGGGCGCCTCCACTTCTCCTTGAGCTTCTCAGGTGGGGACTGAGGCTGGTCTGCCCCTCTCAAGGGCTCACCAGGTGACAGGCTTAAGCCAGAATCTGGAGTGTCCTTTTATCTGCAGTGGGTGCATAGCTGGGCAGAGTGGAACCCCCAGGGTGTCTTCCTGAAAACTAGATCCAGTTCCCCAACCCCTGTACCTCACACATCTGCAGAACGATGCCGACCCCAACGTCTCAGAAGAGCAGTCGTTTCTTGTGGTGGTGGCTGTCGACTTTGGGACCACGTCCAGTGGCTATGCCTACAGCTTCACCAAGGAGCCAGAATGCATCCACGTGATGAGGTAAGTGCTGGGGTCGGGAGGCACATGTGGCTGGCACCAGGCACTGTAGCTGTGGAGACCCGGGGTGGAATTAGGCAATGAGCTGGTGAATGGCACTTAGGAGGAGGATCCTGGATTCTGGTCCAGCTCAGTTCAAACTCACTGTGTTTCTTGGGGTAAGCCACTTCTGACCTCTAGGATCTAGGTTCCTGGTCTGTAAGAGTGTTGGTTATTTAGTTGGTCTAGGGAGGGGCCAGGGCAGTATGTTTGAAGCCTGGTCTGGGTGACTCCAGCATGTGGCCTGGGTGGCAGTACTGACCCCTATGGAGTTTGTGATGGAGGTGATTAAGGTGCCAGCTCAGCCACTTCACTGTGTGACCCTAGGCATTGCTGAACATGCTAAACTTTAGTTTACTCATCTGTGAAATAAGGATAATGACAGTACTTGCCTCACAAGGTATGTGTGTGCAATTATCAAGTGCTTAGCATGTAGTAAAATGTAAGCAGGGAAGGTGCTAGTTCTTACAAATGAAGAGAAGTCATGGGGTGATGGTGTTGGTACCCAGAAGCAGAAAGCACTGTGCCTGAGAGAAAACAGTGTGAAGTGAATCTCACCCAGGTGACCCTAAAGGCAGAGCTACTTTGGATGCTCCCTTTCTACCCCCAGGCGCGCAGGAGCCCAACAGGCCCTCACCTCCACCCATCCATGGGATCTAGTGTCCATGAGGACTCAGGTCTAACCTGGCACAAATTGTCAACTCTCCCAGACTTGACCCATAACCTTTCTGCAGAGTCTGCTGCCCCTCAAAGCTTTGGAAATCAGGTGTTTATCATCCCAGATTGCCAGTTCTGAGGGATGACTCTGAAAACACACTGTAATCAGCTTTGCACTTCCTTCAGCTGTAGAATTTAGTATTGTATCCAGAGTAAGATTTCTGGTATTTTTATAAAGGACTGTGTAAAATACTAGTCATAGTAAAAATGACCCCCATTCCAATCTTGGCTTAAGCCCCACCTTTTCTCTTGAAAACCAGATGTGGCTCAGCTTGAGGCTGTTGTACGAGTGTCAAGGGACCCTTGGATGCCATCCTGTCAAGCAATAATGAAAAGCTGGTTTTATTAGTGAACTCTGATGACAGCTTCGCCCTTGGTGTTCAGCTGCCACCAGGATCCTACTTCCAGTTAGCCAGACAAATGCTGTGAGGGTCTGCACTGCCCTCATGGATCCCAAGATGGAAAACCCCAGTGGAAAAGAGCATGTCATTAAAAGCTACAATCAATGTTCATCAGCTTTTATATAGTAATTCTAAGAAATGTTATTTCTACAGGATAGTCATGCAATGAAGATAGAAAAGAAAGAGTGGAAATAACCTTGAACTTGCTTGGGAGGCATACTTACAAAGTGTCACCATAGTTCAGGGCCTCCAGAGGTGTCATCTTAGTCATGGTAGAGATTTTGTAGGGAGGTTGGTTCTGGTTGAATTTTATTTCAGTCAGAACATATTAACATCATCATGATGCAGACTGACAAAGTTATAAATGAGAAAGTTTAAATTTTTTGTATTTAAATAGGAATGCAGGAATAAAAACTGAAGGAAAAAGTTCATGGGTTAGTTATCTACTGAAAATGTCATTGTAATCTTAATGACAAGCTCATTTGTGAAGGGCAGTGTGTGGAGCAGCTGCCTGCCATTGGGACCGTCCCTGTGTCTCAGTGCGGTCACCTTGGGGACTTTGGCTCCTGGGGTAGAAGCTGCATCCTGATGGAGCTTGACAGAGAAATCAGCCAGGGACGATTCTAAACCCAGCTGAGTGGCAAATTTCAGTGGAGGCCGGCGCCCCATCTGGACCACAATGGTCCTACTGATGCTTAATGATGCAGAGTGTGGAGCAGGTTTGAGTGCATCCACCTTCCCAGTGGGTGAGGGAAGGCAGCTTATTTCCCTGTGAGCACCACATCTCCACCAGAGGCCACACACGGGGGTCACGTGGCTAGTGGCAGGCGAGGAGTCAGGCCTTGTTTGGAAAGAGGACACCTTAGTCTCTTGGCAGCCCTGGCTTCTCTGCAGTGGCCCTAAAAGAGAGAGAAAGGATTGTATCCCCTGCCTGCCCCACCCCACTTCCCTTTCAGCTGGCATTCTGCCATCTCCATCTATGTCTCTCTCATCTTTGCTCCCAGGCTAAGTCCCAGCCTCCTCACTTCCCCTCCTCCTCCTTTTAGTCTAGTTTTGCTCTCATGAATAGCATCTCTGATTCTGCTATGCACCTTTAGTGGCTCCCTGTTATTCATAGATTAAATCTCTAAGTCCTCAGTGTTTTCCTCAACCTGATTCCAACCACTTTCCCAGTTTTATTTCTCATGCTTCCCATGTACACAATCACTCTTCTTATTTACACAGTCTTTCTCTAACCAACACAATCACTTAGCATTTCCCATGAATGCTCCGTGGTAGCCCACTTCTGAGCAGCCTGGAATATCCTTCCTTTCTTTGAGATCTGGTTACCTGTTGCTACTTCAAGCCTTCCCTACATCTTCCTTTCTTCTTTCTGCCCTACCAGGGACACCTCTGCCTTCTCTGATCCCTCGGGCCATTTCCCAGGTCCCCCATTTCCTTCCCACAAGGCGGTATTTATGCATTTATTTATACCTATCTTGTTTCGAAGAGGATTCAGGCCAACTATATCTGCTACGCAGTGTTGGCAATTAAGAAAAAAAAAAATATATATATATATACATTGCCTACCAGATTATGAGTTATTTGAAGGCAGAAACATAAACATTTTGTCTCTATGTCACCAGCAGCTGGCACATGTAGATACTCAGTAAACAATGAATGAAAGGATAAAGGCAAGAACGGGGCACTTGCCCATTTCATTTTCTGTTTAACTGAAGTTGCCTCTAGATGCTACTCAGCCAGCTGAATCGGAGTGCATCTAAGCATTCAAATCATTGACACTCGTACATACAGTAGGTACTCAAATCTGTGCTGTTTGAACTGGGATTTTGCAAGAAGGCCCTGTAACCTCTGCCTTCCTTTGGTGGCAGACGATGGGAGGGAGGCGACCCTGGTGTGTCCAACCAGAAGACTCCGACCACCATCTTGTTGACTCCTGAGAGGAAGTTCCACAGCTTTGGGTATGCTGCCAGGGACTTTTACCATGACCTGGATCCCAATGAGGCCAAGCAGTGGTTGTATCTGGAGAAGTTCAAGATGAAGCTGCACACCACTGGGGTGAGTGAGCTTTTCCCCAGCCCCAAGTCCCTGTGTTGGAGAGCCAAGGTTCCTCCAACCTTGGGGTGGGAAAGGAGGGTCTTTCCAACCCAGGGGCCCTCAGGTTTTTCCCAAGAAGAAATTAATGTACATTTACCTTGATTTAGAAGCAACCTGGAGCACACGGCAGTTTTGTGGACTCTGCAGTGCTTTCTGACATACAGGTTGGCAGGAAGATATTCAGAATATTTAATAACTTGTTTATCTTAGGAACTGACCAATCAGAGTAGACCCTGCCTGCTGCATGGACCTAGGGTGCTGGGGCCCCCCTGCTGTGCCAGGAGTTTCTCCTTCAGTTGCTGGATTGTTGGGAGATCAATAATCCAGAAGGAGATACTTGGGAGTTGGGGGAATTTGTAGGGCTCAGGGGAGTGGCTGTTAACTAACCAGTTTGGAAGTAGCAACTAGTAACAACTGGCACAAAACCCCTCAGGACATAAGTGCTCAGGGCATCAAGCACCCAATAATCCAGGTCTAACTCCCAGAGCATTGGCCTTAGTTCTGCTCCCAGCAAGGCCGTGTTCTATAAGCCATCTAATTTATTTTTTATTATTTTTTATTTTTTTATTTTTTTGAGTTGGAGTCTCACTCTGTCGCCCAGACTGGAGTGCAGTGGCCGCTCCCAGCCACCGCAGCCTCAACCTGCTGGGATCTGGCGATCCTTCCGCCTCAGCCTTCCAAGTAGCCGGAATTCGCTACCACGCCCAGCTGATTTTTTTTTTTTATTTATTGTAGAGATGAGGTCTTGCTGCCCAGGCGGGTCTCGAACCCGCAGGCTCAGGCAATCCACTCACCTCAGCCTCCCAAAGGCGCGGGATTACAGGCTGAGCCACCGAGCCCGGCTGCCATCTAATTTAAATAGGCATCCTCCCACCCGGAAGCCTCATAGAAAAGGTTGGGGTATAGGATAGGACTTTTTCAATTTAAGTATTTTGTCCCATACATTTTCCTTAACTCTTGGTACTTAGAGAGGCAGGATGGTGATAATTTTTAAGACCATGGACTCTGGGGCCAGATGGCCTGGGTTTAAGTCCTCTGGTACTTTCAAGATATTTAATCCAAGTTACCTCTGTGCCTTGTTTTATCTTCTCTATAAAATGGAGATAATGACAGTGCCTTCCTCATGGGGATATTGTAAGGATTAAAGGAATCAAAATATATAAGCTCTCAGAGCCATGCCTGGTGCAGATTAAGTTCTAGTCAAGTGCTAGCTCCTATTCTAATTGCTTTCATTTGTCTGCTAATGTTTGCAGATGACAAAGCAAATGTTAATGGGAAACTCGGCAGCCAGCACCCTGCTTTCCAAGGCTCTGTGCTCATCAGCGTGGTTGTCTATGATGCAGGCCAACTTCTGCTAGAAATGAACTGTTCCCATTTCACTTGATGGGATTCAAGCTTGAGTATCAGGATTGCACATGGAAACAGGAATTTTTTCAACTTCATTTTTTCAACTCAGAGCTGTGGCTTCCTGGTGTTTGGCTACCTTCCTGAGTCTGGGGGCCACTTCCTCAAAGCTGGGATATCTTTGCTGAGCACCAGGAGCAGGAAGCAGCTGAATGAGACAAGCGAGCATGTGCAGATAGATCAGGATGCCACCGACAGGCTCCACATAGCCAGTTTATTAACGCAATACCCCTTCTCACTCTAAAGCAGAACATAATTACCCAGCCTGAATCAATCCAGAGGCCCCATAGATTTTTTTTTCCTGGTAATAATGTGCTTGTTGAACTGGGGAGATTTGGGGGCTTCTTCCCAATTTTTTCTCCCACTTCCTGTCCATCCCTGCCCCATGGGGACTTTTCTCATCTTTTGTGCTTTTGTGTGTGTGTGTGTGTGTGTGTGTGTTGGAGTCTCGCTCTGTTATCCAAAGACTGGAGTGCAGTGGCATGCTCACAGCTACCCCAGTGTCGATCTGCTAGGCTCAGGTGATTCTTCTGCCTCAGCCTTCCAAGTAGTTAGAACTGCAGGTGCGCACTACCACGCCTGGCTAATTTTTGGATTTTTTAAATTGTAGAGATGAGGTCTCACCAAGTTGCCCAGGTTGTTCTCAAACCTGTAGGTTCAGGCAATCTCCTAACCTCGGCCTCCTAAAGTGCTGGGATTACAGGTTTGAGCCTTCGTGCCCGGCTTCTCATCATTTTTAACAACCTCTGTCCACCTGATATCTGGGCTCTGCAGAGCATCCTCTAAGGACCACAATCAGTAGCTGCTTTAGCTTCTGGCAGAGAAAGGAAGGCAGTGATGTTGGGCTCCTGGTGGATTAGACAGGGCAAGCCTTAAAATAGGAGCTCTTCTATTTTGGTGGCTTGGTTGGTAGCTTACCGGGGAATGAAAGCTTCATGTCTGTTTAGCATCATGCACGGCAGTGAGTTGGCATGATTTAGGCCTCCATCAGGGAGCTCCTGAGTGTGACCACGTGTCCGCATGTGGCTATGGCATGTGAATTGCATTGGGAGTGGTGCCTGCTTCATATTTTTCTCCCTGACCTCTGCTGCTGCCCTAAAACATCTTCTCCCAGAGGATCCAGGAGAGAGAGAGAGAGAGAGAGAGAGAGAGAGACAGAGAGAGAGAGACAGAGAGAGAGAGAGAGAGAGAGAGAGAGACAGACACTGAGATTGAGTTAAGAGAGAGAAGAGGGGGGCAGAGAGAGTGAGTAGTGAAGATGAGATTTTGGAGGGAGCAGCCAGAGCCTCCTACACAGAGAGGGTATAGTACCGCCAGGCCCCATTTTGGGGTATGCACCATCCTAGTCTGCTTCAAGCTTGGGGAAACACAAATATGGCTCACCAGGATCCTCCAGATCTCCAAGGAGCAGCCCCCAAGGTCGGAAGACATGTTTGTTCTTCATCATCTTCTTACTATTTTGTTCCTCTTCCACCCACCAGGACCTCACAATGGATACGGACTTGACGGCAGCAAATGGCAAGAAAGTCAAAGCCCTTGAAATCTTCGCTTATGCCCTGCAGTACTTTAAGGAGCAGGCGCTGAAGGTAGGACTGATGGCTGAGACCAGCCAGTTGCTTGGTAGGTGGGAGTGCCTGTGTTAGCTCCATCTCTGAGGTTGCTGCACCTGCTGACTAGGGTAGGAAGTACAGCATTGGGAGCATGGGCTTCCAAGTCAGAGTGGTAGGATGGACCCTCACGCTGCTGGTGGACCCTGGCTGCTGAATGGTGCAACCAATTTAGAAAACAGTTTGGCAGTTCCTTACAAAGTTAAGCACAGGGCAACCCCCTCCTGTCCCTTTCCACTGTGGTAACTTTTCTGTCCTTTTAATAAATCCTGCTTTCTCAAAAAGAAAAAAAAATTAAACACAGAGTTACCATATGACCCAGTAATTCCACTACTAGGTAGATACCTTAGAAAAATTAAAGCATATGTACACATAAGTACATGTCTACATGACTTGGTTGGCTCATAGTAGGTTTATAGCAACATTATTGATAATAACTAAAAAGCGGAAACAACCCCGCATGTCCACCAACTGGTGAGTGGATAACCAAAATGTGGCATATCTAAATAATGGAATATTATTCAGCAGTAACAAGGAGTGAAGTACTGACACACACGATAACACGGATAAAGCTTGAAAGCATCATGTGAAGTAGAAGAAGCCAGAAATAAAATGCCACATATTGTATGATTTCATTAATATGAAATGCTCAGGACAGGCAAATCCAGAGACAGAAAGCAGAGTTGTGGTTGCCAGGGGCTGTGCGGGGAATGAGAATGAGTGGTGACTGCTATGGATATGGGTTTCTTTTGGGGGTGATAAAATTAAATAGTGGGATTGGTTGCACATCCTTGTGAATATACTAAGACCTGCTGAATTGTACACTTTAAAAGGGTGAATTTTATGGCATGTGAATTTCCAAGAAAAAAAAAAAGGCTGGAAATATAGTTTGCAGCTGTGCAATTTTGGGCAAGGGACTTAATCTCCCCAATAGCCACTTTCCTAACTTGAAGATTAGGGTTGGTAACTGTACCTTGTGGGTTGTTTGATAGTAAACGAAATATTGGACATGCAGTGTCTCCCTCGGGGCCTGGTGTGCAGCAAACACTTGGTAAATGGTGACTACTGTTCCTTCCCTCCTCCTCCTCCCTCTCCTCCTCTTCCTCCTCCTCTTCCTCCTCTGTGCCCCAGATCGCATGGAAGAAACTGGTAGTACGAACACCCTTGGATCCCCCTTGGAAAGGTTTATGATCGCCTTGGTTTGGAATGCCCAAAATAGCTCATTTCAAAGTGGAATATAACTGTCTCCCTCAGTGTTTCCTCCCTCAGGCATGGTGATGAGTGGGTGAGAATCAGATGATTAAAGCGCCCTGATGTATTGAGCTTTAGCCCAAAAGAGCTGAGAACTTCTGAAGCATTTGGTATTGTGTGATCACTAGAAGAAATTTAGTGAATTCTAGAAAGAGGGTCAGAGGGAGACAAGGAAGAAGTGAGAACATAATACTACTCTTAGCCATTCAAGTACCTTTTCTTCTTTTTGTGTACCTTTTATGTGCCGGATTCTATACATGTTGTGGTAGTGTAGAAGTCAACTCAGTATACAGGAGTATGTGGTCAGGGTCAAGGTTGTGAGGGGATGACTGTGGGTGTTGGTAGAGGCAGAGATTCTGTCCAGCGGGGAGCATCAAGGAAGGCTCCCCGTAGGAGGTGGACTGGGAGGGGGAGTTTCACAGGTAGCAACTGGAAGAGTGTATTTCAAGCTGATGGAATGGCATAAGGTCAACTTGGGAAAGAAAGCAGCAAACAACTGTAGGAAAGAAAGGCAGTTTGGGGTGGAGGAAGGGCAAGGCTAGGGGATAAAGTCAGGATACCAAGCTCAGGACAGGATTGTACAGAGTCATGGATACCAAGCTCAGGAAGTTCTTGGGTAATGGGGAGCCATCAGAAGATTTCTAGTAGGGGAATGACATGGCTTCTGGGGTGGTATTCGAGTATCTTAGCCTGTTTTGTGCTACTATGACAGAATAACGCGGACTAGATAGTTTATGAAGTACAGAGATTTATTTCTCACAGTTCTGGAGGCTGCAAAGTCCGAGATTCAAAGGCTGGTGGGTTTGGGGTCTGGCGAGAATCTGGTCTCTGCTGCCGAGATGGAGCCTTGTATCTTCCAGCAGGAGGAACGTTGTTCCTCACATGGTGGCAAAGAGAAAGAGCAAACTCATTCCTGCAAATCCATTTACAGCAGCATCAATCCATTCCTGAGCTGGGAGCTCTCATGACATAAGCATGTCCCATGAGGCCCCATTGCCCAGCATGGGTGCCCTGGGGAGTAAGTTTCCAATACATGAATCTGGGGGGGCACATTCAGACTATAGGATAGAGTGGGAGGCCGCAGTGGTCCTGACAGCCTTCAGGGTGGATGGTGATGCAGAAGCAGCTGACTCGGATCTTGCAGGTTTGTCTGAAGGGAGAGAGGGAGGTCCTGAGACTCGAGGAACTGTGCTGCCATTCAGGGGACACAAAGGATCATCCTGACAGCCAAGAAGAAAGAGGGGCTGGCGGATGGGAAGGAGTGGGTTCTGGGGAAACCTTACTCCACTAGAAAGGGAAGGGGAGAGGGCTGGAAGGAATGGCATGAGAGGAGGAAGGGAGCAAGGGAGGGGGAAGGGAGTGAGCTGGCTCATGTTCAGGAAGATGGCCACCAGCCAAAGGCAAGAGCATAGTGAGGCCTGCTTGGAACCGGAGAAGCGGGGAGCCCCATCGTTCCAGGCAACAGAAAAGCAGAAGGTGAGGACCACAGCGAAGCAGACCTACATCACCCTGAAGATCAAAGGTCGTAGAGGGCTGAGCTCAGTGCGTGGTGGCTGAGGGGATGCCTCAGGCAAGTCTGAGGCAGTTGAAAGAGAGGCAGAGTACTCGGGGTTCCTGAGTTAGAGGGGGAGCCATGAAGACTTCAGGGGGAAATTTAATACTTGAGAAAGTCCGTGATGTTGGTGCGTTTCAAGTTTGCCAGGAGGAAGGGAGTTAGCAGCTTATCTCAGAAGGGGAGGAAGGAGGTGGACAGAACAGCCCAGAAGGTCAAGCAGGGGCATGGGTTGTTGTCTGTGAACTCCTCAGTTCAGCTAGAGAAGCTCCAAAGAGCCTGCTGCACCTTCCTTTTGGAAGATAGCTCCTTCTCCCAGCAGGAATATGCTGTGCATAAATTCCAGGAGAAAAAGCTGTTTGAAGTGATGTATAGGAACTAGCCCTTCACCAGAGGCTGGCTGGTGTTTGCAGGATCAGTGGATTTAGAAGAAGGGTTTTTGCATGCTTGACCAGAATAGGTGAAGGCAGAACATCTCTTCAAGTGGAACGTCTAAACAGTCATGTAAATGAAGCAGTTTGGTCGTTCTTTTTTTTTTTTTGAGTTGGAGTCTCACTCTGTTACCCAGACTGGAGTGCAGTGGCCGCTCCTGGCCACCGCAGCCTGGATTTGCTGGGCTCCAGTGATCCTTCCGCCTCAGCCTTCTGAGTAGCTGGAACTACAGGTGTGCGCTACCACGCCTAGCTAATTTTTTTTTGATTTATTGTGGAGATGAGGTCTTGCCAAGTTGCCCAGGCAAGTCTCGAACCCGTGGACTCAAGCAATCCACTCACCTCAGCCTCCCAAGGCGCAGGATTACAGGCTGAGCCACCGAGCCTGGCAGTTTGGTCGTTCTTGAAGGAAAGCCAGTGGAAGGGCCTGAGATACTCAATTAATGTCATCTTTCCCTTTCAAGTTGTTCCCTATCCACTGGGGACAGGATAGCTCCTCCAAACTCTCTAGGCAGCCCAAGGTGTGTTGAGCCTTTTTCCTTAAAAAAGTTGAAATTAGTCTGCCTGACAATTGGCAGCGTGCTTAGGATTTTCCCAACACGTGTCATATCGCTCGCCTGCTTTTTCAAGCCCAATGCAGACCTTAAAGGAAAGAAAATATTTTGATAAAGATGACTGCTCTATGTTGGTCCAAAGCAGAGATGACTTTAAAAACATGTTTTTAAAAAGTTTACTGAATGTACTTAACACTACCTAACTACACTTAAAAATGGTTAAGATGATAAATTTTATTGTAAGTGTATTTTTGCTACAAAATAAAATTTTTATAAATAAATTTTTAAAAGATGAAAAGAGAAGTTTACTGATCAAAGAGGAAGTTAGTTCAGTGATAGAGTGGGCCAGACCCATGATAACTATTTGAAACAACAGGGACAATGAGGCACCATCAGAAATTGTTTCTTATTTTTATTTTTTTACCGGCCTATAAATCTTCTTGTGGCCCCAGAGCTGACTTTGATGCAGAAGTGCCTTAGCATGTGTTTTAGATTTGTCTGGTAAATGTGGCAGTGGAAGGAGAAAGGAAAGAAGGGACAAGCATTTATCAGAAGTCTTTGGGCCAAACATTTCTTGTGTCTTTTTATTTAATCTTGCCAATAATGCTACAGATTAGTTTTAGCATCCCCATTTTACAGATAGAATACTGAGTCTATTCCAGTAATGTATTTTGTCTTCATGGACAAGATAGGAACACCTGATGCTTCTGCCTATCCTATTTATCCACACGGTCTCCATTGCTATAGTTTAACCTTTGCCAAAAATTAATTGGTTAGGTCATGTCATTCAAATTCTTTCCTTCCTGTCAGGAAAACTCCCCTGATATGTTTGGCTTGCATGAGGTAGTGACAGTGATGACAATTACAATGACAATTGTCACCAGCTGTTAAGCGTTACTTTGGGCCAGACAACGTTTACACATGCGACCACATATAACAATTTAGTTAAGACCTTGGCCTTGACAGTCAAGATAGACCTGGGTCTGGGTCTAAATTTTGGCTCTGCCACTTGCTAGCTATACAATGGTCAATAGGTAGTGAGCATATCTAAGTCTCATTATTCCCATCTGTGGAAAAAGCGTAGAGTTATAATCCTTTCCTAGCAGGATTCTTGAGTAGGTTCATGGAGATAAGGTGTGCAAAGTGCTTAATAAGGTGGCTGACACATAAGCTTTCAGTAAATAATCAGTCCTCTCAATAATCTTATGAACTAGGTACTATTATCCCCATTGTGCAGACATGGAGACTAAGGCCTGAGAGGTTGACACATGACCAGAAAGTGACCAAAGGGATTTTCCTTTGATCCGCCTCTCTCCTCCTACAGTCACATTCACTGAGTGAAAGGAGCTAGCACTCCCTGCTTGCTGAACATCCAGAAAACAGATTTTTGCCTCCTGATGCTCATAAGTTCAGGAGGCTATGGAATAGACACCTGGAGAAGTGGTGGCAGGAAGCCTGGCTTCTCAGGGAAGCCATGAGAGGCTGCTCTCAGGGACCAGCTGTGCCACTTGACCTGTTGTGTTTATCTTCCTTGGCTTCAGGAGCTGAGTGACCAGGCAGGTTCGGAGTTCGAGAACTCTGATGTCAGATGGGTCATCACGGTGCCTGCCATCTGGAAACAGCCTGCCAAGCAGTTCATGAGACAAGCTGCCTACCAGGTAAGGACAAGGGTTGGGGCGGGTGGGGGCTAGAGAAGGACCCGAAGTGCCCTTGGTGTTGACTGTAGTCCTCAGGTTATCTCCCAGCATTCACAGGCTCCTTAAAAGGCAGTGAGGAGGCTCCCCTAGGCAGGGTGAGGAGCTAGGGGGCAAGGAGCCTTCCCATTCCTCAGCTTCCTCCTGGGGTAGAAATAGAGGTCAGTGTGACCTTGACAGGAATTGGGCTTGGTTTTCTTTCTGGCTTTCCACATTTCTAGGCCATGTTTCCACTGTAGATGCTCCAGGGCTAGAATTTCAAGTTCTGGTTTGGAAACGTGTTTCTGTGGGTGAACTGAAGTGATAACCTTAAGGAAAAGACTTAGGAAACAAGGATATTTGAATGAAAAAGAAGTAAAGACAAGGCCACTGGCCATTAAACAGACATTTCACCTTGGTGTGGAGGCTGAAAACTGCACATCTGCGGCTGGGAAATGAAGGAAATACTATTGTTCTCTGTACGCTTCACTCAGAGGGGCATGTAGGGCTCCCAGAGAGTGCTAAAGTCTACCTGCCCTGTGGTGGGTGGCAGACCTCCGCAGGAGGGCAGTGGCATGACCAAGTGGTATGCCAGGTACAGGTGCTTATCAGTCAAGGAGGCAGACACTCCAGCCCCGATGGCTAGCCCAACCCTGGGCAGAGGACGTTGATGCCACAAACTCTCATGGCTTCAGCTCTCACATGCTGTTTGCAGACACGGTAATAGATGTACCCTTGCTCCCTGTCATGCCTCTCAGGAGACATCCTGCCCACCTTTCCCAGGGGACCTACCGCTGACATTTGTGGCCACATGTATGAGCCTTTCTCTACAAAAACCCCACAGGATCAACTCTGGGCCCCAGAGTGTAGCCAAATGGCCATGGGAGGTTTTACATTATGAGTTGTGTTCAGTGATCACTTGGGCTTGACTCCAAGCAGCATGCAGGGTTCACGGTCTCTGGTCAAAGGCAGGCGTCCCCTCCCCTCACTCTCTCCCCTTCCCCAGGCTGCTTCCTGCACCTCACTTCCTCTGTGCAGCGTGAGAATCTGGCTCAGTGTATGTACCTGCCAAAAATAGATCTGTTTTTTCAGAGATGAAGGAAGAGGGTGGAAGTTCTTTAAAAAGTTCTTTAAAAAGGAAGAAAAATAATGCAGTTTAGCTGTTCACAGAAGCCCGGGGTATCACAGAACTTTTCTGTAATGTCAAACTTAAGGCAGTGTCTGAAGATGGGGCATCAGGACACAGCTATCTGTGGAGACTCTGCCCAGCATTCTAAGTTTTTCCCAGGAAGGCTATTCAAGAACATGGTTTTGACTCTTATTCTCTAACCCACAGGAAGCGTCAGCAACAAATGTGTGACCCATTAAAAGGGTCAGTTATTATCTTTAGCCTAAAAAGAAAGACGTGTAGTGATTGGCAAATTTGTCAGGGCCGTTGGAGCCCTGGGCTAGCTCATCCAAGAGGCATGTGGCCCCTTACACAGGGGAGTCTGAGGAGGAAACCAGGCAGAGGAGGGCACAGTATACCTGGGGGGG